AACACAACGCACAGCAAAACAACACAAAGCACAGCAAAACAACACAAAGCACAGCAAAACAACACAAAGCACAGCAAAACAACGCAAAACAACACAAAGCACAGCAAAACAACGCAAAACAACACAAAGCACAGCAAAACAACACAAAGCAACACAACACCACAACGCACAGCAAAACAACACCACAACACACAGCAACACAACACCACGATGCACAGCAACACAACGCACAGCAAAACAACACAAAGCACAGCAACACAACTGTGAGACACTAAGAGCTCAAAACGAGCCCGCGGAACCACGGAGAAGAACACTCCTGAACCTCGGAGAGAGACACGAGCTGGACGTAATAGCAGCAGAGTAATAGCTTCCATGACACACCGGTGGAGGACAGAGGCAGCCCTGCGGTATGTGTGTGTGTGTGTGTCTGTCTGTATGTGTGTGTATGCAGGCCTACGTGCGAGTGTCGATGTGCATTTGGGTTCAGTGCTGACGCTTGAGCTGAGATAATTAGGCTGCCTGCAGGCTAGAGAAATCATCTGTACAAAAACATCATGTAGGGTTCCCAAGTGAAGCGGAGAGCTCAACCTTTTGTGTACACATTCCTGCTCATTCAAAAAACTCCACATGCCAGAGCACACACAGACACACACACACAGGAAGTGTGCGTGCTGGTTTTATGTGGGCTGAAGGGATTTCTTGACATTTTGTAGTTATTTTTTTTTTTCCTTTCTTTCCCCCTTCAGCTAAAAACATGTTAGAAAGTTCAGTTCTGCTTAAAAGTTCCCTACACGTTGCTGTCTGTAGTGAGTTTGTAGAGAAATAATAATAAGCTGCTGTATCTAACCCAGATCAACACAGTTTCACGAGTAATGACGCTGCTCGTTAGCAGCTGGTGGGAAGTTCTCCTCATCGAAACACACTCACCTCCTCGGGGGACTCCTGCTGTGTGCATTGATTTCTACTCATATTCTATACTGATGTGAACATATTCAACCTTTATTTCTGAGTATTATGACACATGCACTGTCTAACACAAATGTAAGTAACTCGTTATAAATGTGAATGAATGTACTTTAGCAACATGCCACACACACACACATATATATATTTAATCTGTTTAGCGTTACAGAAATAGCCACATAAAGCGTGCACTACGAGATTCGTGAGCGCTGCAGAGGACTCCACCTACCACGGAGATGGACGTGTAGCTCGTCTCCGAGGGAAACGTGAAGACCGTTGCTGTGGTAACAGGACTACTAGGGGGCGGGGTCACGATTAGTCCGGTTGTGCAAATGTGTACCTGTCAACAAAAGAGACAGATGTTCACCGTTACACGTGCGGTAATGAGTCCAAAGCATAGGACACGCTTCACCCACACATGAAGAAGAAAATGTGCATAAATCGTTGAAGTCAGTGTTTGAGTGAATGGAGTCTGGTGTGTTTGTAGAGATCATAGATAACAGCTTGAGTTCCCCTCAGAAAGGTCTGTCTGACAGCAAGGTAAAGAGCTGAAGACATTCTGAATATAGCTTCACTTCAACTGAGAGACATTCTGTTAGGAGTCTAACATACGTCCACAGCAGAACATCACTTTGCTCCCGTGCTGGTTCTATCAACTCATCTACTGTAGTAGAACCCTGACTGTGGAGGAGAACCTCACACACACACACACTCTACAGAACATCAGTACCTTCTATTTAAGTAAACACCACATGCTTGTAATCAGTCTCATTCATCAGATTTCAGGAAGGAAGCAAAGGACATATGGGAACCTTCGATCATCAAGTGAAAAGACGGCCTGCTACTGTATTACAGAGCACAACACACCACACTGTGTGCAGACGACTCTCACAGAACACACGTCAACACATTGTCTCCTGGTGCCATGACCACAAACGATGGTCTGATGATGCAATAGGCCAAAAGAAGACCAGGTGACCACCCAGCAGGACCTCTCATTGGACATGTAACCGGTCGTCCACGTGAGTCACAGTGCTGTCCGAGTAACAAGGCCATACTGTTGGGGAGCTGGACACACAATATCTCCCTACAGCCTGTGGTCTCTCTCCCTCCCTCCCTCTCTCGCCATGCTTGACTGCTCCACTCTTAAGGTGAGCCTTTCAGAGAGCAGCCCAACCTCAGATCCAATCTTTAACTGCTTTCTTATCTGTTGTGCTCTGGGTGTGCCAAAAGGAAAAGCTCAGAAATGTGCTCAGAGGGGACACCGTGAGTGAGATGGCTGCCTGGACACAGAAAAATAACACGAGAACAAAGAAGACAGGGCAGGTGTGCTGTGCTACTTTAAATAAATACATGTATTTTCCTTGACACAATTCTTCCTCCCATCTACCAAAGTAGCAGACAAGACGTTCTCATGTTCCAAGAGGGACTACTACTGAGCCCCCCGGGCACCCGGGGCTTACCTTTGTTGTCTCTTTGTCTGGGTTTTGGAAGGAGAGATGATGAGTGGAGGTGAAGGGGTAAGAAGAGAGGAAAGAGGCTGTGCACTGAAGTCTAAACAGTGTTTTTATTAAATCAATCGTATTGTCGTCACATCACAGGCGCACATTTAAATTCTGTTATTCTAAAAGTAGCCTGATAATGATGAGCGAGTCATTAAAACCTGATTCAACCTTCCGCATGGACACACAGTCTTTGATGATACATAAATCATGTCAACATGAAAGCTTTTTTGTTCTTTAGAGACAAAAAAATAAAATAAAGATCCTCAAGATCCACTTTACCGGAGACGAGCACTCTGCCCCGCCTCCCTCTCACAAACACACGGTAGATATGAAAGATTAATGACGGAGCTCGATGGGTCTGCAGTATTCAGACAACACGAAGAGATTTAAGACAAAACAAACAAACAAACAGAAGAGAAGATAGCGACGAGCTCCCAGAGCCTGGAAGTGAGCCAACAATGTGACGTCTGTTTGAATAAAGTTTAACACGAACACTAAAAAACTGTCTTTGTATTATTATTACCATCATCATTATAATTCTATATATATATATATAGATATAGATATATAGCGCTGTTCTTTTGCTCTTCTTTCAATGATTCAGGAGCCGCCACACCTAAGCCACGCCCCTAGCTGCCAGTAGCTCCTCTGATTGGTCCGGAATACAAGTGCAATACTTGAAGCCCTGACAAGATATATAGGTAACAAAAAGGTGAACTTTGTACTGCTGCACAACGATAAATCAAAGTTCTATCTCATCTTGAATGGAGCTTATTTGTCAAACTGTATTCTTGTGTTTTAGGGTAAAACTTTTAGGAAGGGACCTACAATGCAGCAGCCTCCCTCCCTCCCTCCCTCCCTCCCTCCCTCTGAAGTATCGTACCTGTGAAGGCGCGCTGCAGGACAGCCCCCCGCTGATCTCCCCGATCCGTGCAGCTGCTGTGGGGTTGCTGGAGCTGATGAGGACCGGCCCGCTGATCTCCATGGAGTGGCGCTGGGGGGGCGGGGCGAGCACGGGTTTGTGGGACATGGTGAGCGAGGTGAAGGAATGTCGCTTCTTGCTGTTCTTCTTCTCTCCTGCTCGCTGGGCGCCGTTGCTCTGGGGCCCCGAGGAGGAGGCCCCCCCCTCGCCGGAGTCTCCGCTGGAGTCCGACGGCTTGTCCAACTCTATCAGCTGCCGAGCTGCCGAGTTAAACTGCGAGAGAGGAAGAGGAGGAGGAGGTGGAGGAGGTGATGAAGAGAGAGTAGTAAGGTGGAAATAACATACAGAGGGGTGATGGAGCTATGGAGTATTAGAGTGATCATGAAAACTGTCACTCTCTGTAATAAAGCTGTCATGGAAGACCTCCATCTTCATCCAGTCGGAGGAGAAGGTGAGCGGCAGGGTCAGAGTGAGAAATAACAATTTACACTTCAGACGTCCTGAAGCCGTCCAGTCAGCGCTTTCAATGTGTTTGAGTGTGACTCAAAGCAATAAGTAACTGTTTATGAATTATTGTCTTGTTTCATATTTATTCTCATTGTTATCTATCCAAAGATCTCCCTCGTCAGTGTTCGCTGCAGTGTCTCCCCTTTAGTACATTCTCTTGTACTTAAATACTTTTACTGAAGTAAAACTTTGAAAGCATTAACTTCTAACATATTTTTTTTATTGCGGTATTTATTATTAGTACCGTTACTTCATTAAAAGATCTTCATACTCCTTCCATCACTGCGTATTCCACTAATGATTAATGACATTAAATAATCTTGTTCCTTTTCTTACCTCAACATACGAGATGGGGAAAATTCCAATTTTATCTCCCAGCATTCCCTCTGCCCAGTTCTCGTCCACTCTGCGGATCACAGTCAGTATATCGTCCTGAAATGAAAGACACAAAAGGAGCGCCGCATGAGAGGAAGAACCTAATTAAGGACGCTGCTAACGAAGAGTGTTTCTCCTCCTCGAGGAACAGACGGCGAACAGAAATAACGAGGTAGGGACCATGTTTTATTAAAAGAGACGTGCCCAAGAGTCTGAGGCATTGGCATTCTGTGTGGAGAACTACTTAGTCAGCTCGTTTCTGTGTTTCTGCTCATGTGGCATATAAAAACAACTGAAACATCAAAGTGTGCCCCGAACAGCTGGACAGATATAACCACTTAATTACTGTAGTTAAGGCCGTGTCGTTTCTCTGTGTGTGCATTCAGCTTAATTACAGCTGTTCATCAAGAAGTCTGGCTCACAGGAACACATAAAGCGTTTCAGTTAACAGCCCGCACATTCTGACACACATAACTTGAGAAACTGAAATGCTTAGACTGTAATGAGAGGTATCTTTGAGACCAGAGACCGTGATGAGAGGTATCTTTGAGACCAGAGCGTGGAGCGTCTCACCTTGGAGAACGGCAGGCAGTCCTTGTCCGCCTCCTTGTCTTTGAGCTCAAAGTCGTACAGGGCTTTGCACTGAGGCGGCGGCTGCGGCAGCGGCTTGATGACCTGGACGAAGTTGGTGGGGAAGAAGCCGTGGACGCCGCCCATCTCCCCGTGGTACCAGTTCTCGTCCACTTGCCGGCGCAGGATGATGACGTCGCCCTTGACGAACTTGAGGTCTCCGGGTTCCTTGCCGTCATAGTTGTAGAGTGCCTTGGCACAGGGGAGCTGGGGCACGCCCTGTAAGAGGAGAGAGAGAGAGAGAGGGTTGAGAAAAGAGAGACGACGAGAATAAATGGACAAGAAGTCGCACTGTGATCCGATAACAAAAACAACCAGAGAGTCTGGTTCCCTCGTCTCAAAGTCAATGGGTTTTTGGTTCGATCCCTCACGGTTCAGCACGCATGTGAGGATTTAACCATCACAGTGTAAATAAAGTTGTATTGACTCAGTAGAACATGTGTTTCTAGTCTCTGATCTCTGATCATGTTTCATTGTAAACAACCAATCAGTGTTTAAAGCAACAGGAGGAGAGCTAGTAACGTTAGCAGCACCGCTAACGGCTAACCAACAGGAGGAGAGCTAGTGACGTTAGCAGCACCGCTAACGGCTAACCAACGGGAGGAGAGCTAGTAACGTTAGCAGCACCGCTAACGGCTAACCAACGGGAGGAGAGCTAGTAACGTTAGCAGCACCGTTAACGGCTAACCAACAGGAGGAGAGCTAGTAACGTTAGCAGCACCGCTAATGGCTAACCAATGGAGGTTCACTTCAGTTACATTATGATGCCTTCAGGCTCTGATGTGTTCACATCTGCAAAATTAAATTTTTGGTGATAAATTTGAATACATCCAGATGTTTCAGATGTTTTCACATGAATGTGAAATAGAGGTGAATTATGAGCCGTTTAACTGAAGCTTATAATACATCATTAAAACTACTGATGACCAGATGTCAATCTTTTATCTTCTATCAATTTGAATTCTGTGTGTTTAGTTAGATTTAGAAAGTTAGATTCTTTGATGGTTTACCGACTTCAGAGCGGTGGTAAAGAAATATAATTAAAAAGAATGAGTCTGGAGCCGTGTTGACCAGCTGCTATAACAACACAAACCAACTAAAATCTACAATCTGTATCTGCCAACATGGATCATCAAGGTTTGACAACGACAGCTCCGGGAAAAAAAAGCTCACAAAACAAAAAGTAATGCAATAATTAAACAAAAATACTAAAATAAAGGATAAAGAATTAGGAATGAACTGAAACTGAACTAAAAGAAGCACAACTTTGGAAAAATACTTTGCTTTCTCTTTGTAAAGTCGGACGTAGTCGTGTGAATCATACAGAATGTATCACCAATTAAAAGCACAAGAGATGTTGAACCAGTATTCACAGTCAGGGAACTGGGCTCTATGGGAAACTACATTTGTGTTTTTGGACACTGCAAACAAAAAAGGAGACAATAATGTGAGAGTGTCTGTTTTTCACAGGGACAGTGAACTGTTCCGTTTGTTCCCCCGATAATGAAATGTTGTGTGTTCACAGTCTTGAGTGTGATGAGCTTGGCTGGTTGGGACTCGCTGAGTAACGCCTTCAGAAGGCCCAGGGCTCGCTCCCTTTATCCTGCAGAGGAAGGTTTTGTATCTACCCGGCCTGGAGTCCTGAAAGGACCATTCAGGGAATGACAATCCGGGGGGAAAGAGGGACAGCGAGTAGGGGAGGGGGGGTAGCAGGATAGAGGAGCATCAATGTTCTCCATTCAGGGTGGGTGTCCATGAGGAAGGCTTCATTCCAAACCAACCCCCCGCCATTTATCCCCCCACTGTTAGACATCTTTTGCAGTGATCAGAATCTCAAACACTAAGAACTGACTGGATCTCAACCCTGGAACTTACAACGTGAAGGACTACACAAGGACTACAGGAACCAGAACCAAGGCCTCAAACTGCCAGGGTGAGAAAAGGGATCCAGAGAGAGAGCGAGAGAGGGGGGGGGGGGTTAAAGCAGAGTTTCAGAGCTGGCTCTGCAGTCTTGTTAAAGGCTAATGAACCGTTTAAAAGGCTCAGAGGAGAATAAAAGTACAGAATGAGCCGTGATGGTGAGCCAGGGTGACATTACTCTGCTGCAGAGAATCACACAGCCTGAAGCACAGAGCCAATCGGTCTCCGGCTCTGCAGGTCCAGTCTGTGGGGAGGGGGGAGGGAGGCACTGCAGCCCCCTGCACACTGCACTGGAACTGGGCCACCTTTCAGGGTGTGGGGGGGGGGGGGGGGGGGGGGGA